CTCCCTCCCTCCACCCTCCCTCCCCTCTCTCTGTCCCTCTCTCCACCTCCTCTCCGACACACTCTCTAATACTCTCCCCGTCTAACACACTCTCTAACACTCTCTCTCTCTCTTTGACACACACACACTCTCTCTCTCTCTCTGACTCTCTCTCTCTCTCTCTCTCTCTCTTAGTCTCTTTCCTTTTCAAGCCCACACACGGGTGCACGCCCACATACCCACGCACACGACACCCATGCACACCCACCACCCCCCCTCTCCCCCCACCTGGTCCTTCTCCAGCACCGGAAGGTAGAAGGTCTCGTTCCACACCGGCTCCAGGCTGTTGTTGATGTGCCGCGTCTCGTACTTGAAGTTGGGGGTCGTGTACACCTCGACAAGGGGGTCGCTCTTGCCTGGAGGGGGGGCGGCGGCCACAGCCGGGGGTGGCGGGGGACTCGCGGACGATCAACGCTCATCTGCGCTCCCTTTCCGGACTCGGCACGTCTCATCCTCTCACCCTGTCCTCATAGCCTTTGAATCCTGTCCCGCTTCTCAGCGGGAACAACTGCGCCCCGCAGCCCTCACCACGCCCCGCCGCCCCTCCCTCCTCGCGGCCCTGCTGTCCCATCCCCATCCCCATCCCCATCCCCATCCCCTGCCCCATCCCCAGCCCCAGCCCCACCCCCCCTGGTCCTACCGGTCAGCGTGTCGTAGCTCTTTAGGCCCTTGGCGCGTATCACGTTGACGCGCACCACCCCCCTCACGCGCCCCATCAGGCGCTCCACCTCCAGGTCTATGGCCGGGTCGTTCAGCGGCAGGAAGCCGTTGGACGACAGGAGGGGGATCTGATGGGACGGGTGTGCGTGTGTGTGGGTTCGGGGGGGGGGTGCAGTGAGGGTGTGTGTGTATGCATGTGTGTGTGTGCGCGTGCGTGTGTGTGTGTATGCATGTGTGTGTGTGTGTGTGTGTGTGTGTGTGTGTGTGTGTGTGTGTGTGTGCGCGCGCGTGAGAGCGCGGGCGTGCGTGCTGCGTGCATGCGTGCGCATGTGTGAGCATGTGTCGTGCGCATCCCCCATGCCTCCTATCTCACCGTGAACCTCTTGGGCCACAGCAGCATGCTGACCAGCCCCTCCTTCACGATGAAGTTCACGGCCCCAGTGATGGGCGACGTGATGGTGCTGCCGCCGGGCACCGACCCGAAGTTGAGGCGGTAGTTGATGATGGGCGGGCTGCGCAGGGCCACCGCCACGGCGGCTGGGCGCAACGGGTTGAAAAAGGGGTCGAGCGAGGTGAGGTGAGGATCGGGAAGTGCAGTGGGGCGTTTTTGTGGGAGCGAATTTTGTGAGGGCTTGCCCGCAGATCGGCAAGCGGAGGGCGGGTCCGCGTCTTCAAAGCACGAGACAGCCGCGAGTGGGGCAGCAGGGCGCGGTGCTAGCGCGCCGGGGCGTGCACGACACACGCCTGCGAGGCGTCTCGGGTTGGCGCGCGTGCTCACCAAAGCCGGGGATCGCTCTGACGAGCGGCTTGAGGATGATCTTGATGGTCGCGACAAACACAATGTCCGTCACCTTGGGGTTGAGCCGCGTCAGGTCTCTGCGGGGGTGCGAGAGGTAGAGCGGGGGACGGATGCATGTGGTTAGGGGGGGGAGGAGCGCGTCCTTGGGGAGGGGCGAAACGCGCGAGGTTGGTTAGGGGCGGACCGGGCTCGGCTGCGAATGTGTGCCAGGACCCCTGCCCGGCCCCCAGCCCCCACAAAAGGCGAGCGACGCGCCGCCCGCCCGCGCCCGCGCTCCCCCGCCGCGCGTGCGTGCGCTAGCCGCGGGCGCCGCCCACCCTCCGACGGGCAGCTCTATGCCCAAGGCGATGTTGGCGTCCCCGCTCCACCTCACGTCCACCTCCATATCAATCTCATCCTTCTCCTCCTTGACGGTGATGCCTGGCAGGGGGTTTGGGGGGATGCAGCGCGCGTGTGTCCGCGTGCGGGTGTGTAACGTGTGTGCGTGTGAGTGTGTGTGTGTTTGTGTGTGCGCGCGCGTGGGGCCGCGCTCAGCTGCCGAGCTGGCCAGGGCGACAAGGGGTCGGTGCGGTGCATCCCACTGTCACGTTGCCGTAGCCAACTGGGCTCCACAGGACGCGCTGGTCGCGCCCCTTGCGTCGGCGCAACGAGGCCCAGGGGCTCACCTTCCACCCTGAAGGGCGCGTCACCAAACGTCAGCTCCTGAAAATATATCTTCTTGATGACGCCGGGGGGCCTGGCGCAGCGAGGGCCGCAGGGCGCCGTTACCGCAAGAGTGGCGCGGGCAGGGGGCGAGGAGCAGGGCGTGGCAGGATGACGTGGAATAGGGAGGACGAGCCAGGGCTGGGGCCTTGCTTGTGGCCACGCATTGACGTGTGCGTCTAGGACCGAGCGGGCAAGGGGCCGGCGGGGTTGTGGACCGAGAGGCACCGATGGGGCTGGGATGCTCCCGCCTATGCAAGGCAAAGCTGCCCCCCGCCCTGGTCGCTTCACCCTCGAACCCTCCCGCCTGGACCCCTGGTCAATGCCAATCACGCCTCCCTGCCCTTTGGCACCCCCGTGCCCCACACCCGCTGGCAATCCCGTCCCCCCACCTGCCAATGTACACCCTCCCGCTCACAC